CCTTTTCAATCAAGAGCGAACTTTATGTTACTACCTTTGCTTGGCAAGAACCCGGTTGCCTCTGGGCGATTTGAGTAACCCTGTCATTCGCCTGTCTCCCCGTAATCCCTTATCATGAGATGGTAATCGTCTGTTCTCTACTCTTCAGTAGGGACTTGAAATTCTGCCTTATTCTTTAATATGCGGTTTCACTGATGGTTCCATTTTATGTCTTGTATTTTCCCACCCGTCCTTCTTTCACCCTCTCCTGAGGTGGACGTCGAATAGCAACGAATCTACCAGCGAGCTGGTGATTGTTCTTCAGCTGAGTTGTCGCTGATGAGCGTGCGCTAGCATATTCACATTCTAACTCAGTTGGCCATTCCGGGATTTCATTTACTTCCCCACTTAGAAAGGGCGAAGTTGTTTGTTCAGGTGGTCGTTTCCCAGTGCTCCCAGCACATTTTGTATTTTTAAGCCAGCGACTTCCTAAAACGCTAGATTACGGCTGCTTGGTGGCTTTCTTTCTATGTTTTAGCTATGTGCCTAATCAGTGAGTTTCAAGACAACCTGTTATTGGTTGCGCCAAATGAGTTTTATTTGCATGTCACATAATTGTCGCAATAGAACTGAAGAGAAAAAACTTATTCGAGTCCAACGATACAACTTTTTGCCAGAGATCGTAAGAGTACTTATGTCGAGTTGAACAAGTTGCATCATTGAATTCGGAAGAATGTAATATGCAGTCGAAGCAGACTAGCCGGGATATTTTGTCCATACTGCATCATGATGCCACCGCGAGGCGGATTCGATGTTTTGTACCTGTCGGATTCTCCCTGTTGGCAGTAAATTAGCATTCCTCACGGTGGATTTTCTAGTGTGCTATTTTCTTCACCAAACCAAGACCTATCTTACCAGGAATGGGCGCACACCGATCAACTGGCTTCACAAGGCAAACAAGCTCCGTATGGGTGGCAAAGGTTACGAACAGGCAACCAATTACCAGGCCGAAGTCGGCCAAGTCATGATAGCAGCGAGGAGGGACGACAGAGAATGCGGGTAGATTGATACAGTACTGTTTCGGGCTTATTGTGCCTTCATTCAGCCAATCATAACCCTTACCACCAGCAGCTGGGACCAGAAACACAAACATGCGCACAGACGCACCTGGCGCAGTTGATCCTTCACCGGGGTCTACCAGATGGGTCATAAGCACTTCATCGAACCGAAGTTCATCAGCACCTCGCCACCTGTCATTCTCTGTCGCAGCAGATCAGGTAGTTATTCACCCATACGAAGCTTGTTTGTTTTTAGAAGCCAGTGGATCGGTGTGCGCACATTCATGAGCGAATATATGTATATTTGTATTTATCATGTTTATAATCCCCCAGGTAGACGAAGAAGAGAGAACGATTTCATAAACCAGATTGTGTTAAAACTGACGTTTCGGAAACTCCCTCGTCCCCATCATCAGAGTCGTCAGCTGGCGTTTCCTGCTGGCCCTCCTGACTGCTATTATGACTTGGCCGACTTCGGCCTGGTAATTGGTTGCCTGTCCGTGACCTTTGACACCCATACAGAGCTTGTGTGCTTAGTGAAGCCAATTTAGCAGTGTGCGCCCATTCCTGATTGAATAAATACCAGATCTGCTGCGACAGAGAATGACGGGTGGCGAGGTGCTGATGAACTTCGGTTCGATGAAGTGCTTATGACCCATCTAGTAGACCCCGGTGGTGGATCAACTGCGCCAGGTGCGTCTGTGCGCATTTTTGTGTTTCTGGTGCCAGCTGCTGGTGGTAAGGGTTATGATTGGCTGAATGAAGGCACAATAAGCCCGAAACAGTACTGTATCAATCTAGCCGCATTCTCTGGCGTCCCTCCTCGCTGCCAGACTTATCTGTTAGACGGGAGGTCAATACACTCAGTATTCTGGGAAGGCTGACACACCTCAACAGTGGCCGATGGGTGGGGAGCTTGCCTTGTTAGATGGTAGTCGGAGGATCCTCGTTCACTCTCTGTGCGTTCTTCCTGTCATGTGAGATCGCCTAATCGCAAACTTCTACATTTCACGTGCCTCTGTATTACTAAGGATCAATTCTGAGTTTATTAAGAGCAGTAGTGACAGCCGCAAAGGTAATATTATCCGATATAAAAGCGAGATACAGTATCGACGGCAGTGACTCAGTCTTTGTGGGAATTTCTCTCCTCCTCCTTCGTGTGTAGGAGTTTCGGAGAACTTTCATCGAACCCAGGTGTTTAGTTTACTCGATCGATAGACGCTGGTGTAAATCTGTTAACCCAGATTCGTTAGGGAACAATTCTGGAGAACATATTATTTTGCACGTAAAACAACCTTGAGAACAGACGGTTTTCAACATAGATTATGACTTAAAAGTATGTTCTTCTTGACACACCACTAGGGTGGGAATTCCCACCGCGCAGAGGGCAAAGAATCGACCAAGCCAAAATCTGACTCCTCATATGGAAGTGGCTGTTGAATCCATAGCATTATGTCTTCGTCGTTGGAATAGAGTGGGTTGGACGATCCGGCTCCGCTAATGTTGATCGTCCTGCCGTATACTGACAGCATTGGTCCTGCCTAGCGCCTCCTGGCATTGAGACGCCGGAAGAGATGTGGGAGGGAAGGGCAGTTATTAAGTGGGACGACAGCCTGGAATGGGAGGATGTGGCTTCTTCGAGCCCACCGACATCACTGAGAATAGTCAAATCAGCCATAGAGAAAGTCGTATTGAATGTCAGAACAAGTGCGTGCGCTAACTGTTGACCAGGGTAGCTTACGAAACAAGCAAGGGGTAAAACGCCGGAAGAAGGAGCCTCTTTAAGAGTTAATTCATCGTTCCCAGATGACATTCTTAGTCTCAAACGAAGCAACGACTGCAAACTTCGTCCGTTTATGTTCTTAGTTTAACTTCAGAACTTAGCTTAGGATTCTTCGAAACCGCTCCTTATAAAAATGGTCAGTAAAAGCTTCTTCTTCTTTTGTATAAATGGAATAATTTCCTCTACCGCATATCCGATTGTTTCTCAGGTCGATGATGTGTACGTATATCAGTAGTCCCATGATTGATTGACTTTTTAAGAATAAAATCAAATGACTTATTTTTAACAATAATGCGCTTTTAACAGAAAAGTACAGTTGAGTCTTTTCGCCAATCGGGGATTCAGTAAGTAAGGTATCGCTTTATAGTTAACAGCATAGTATGGCAAACAGGTAAGCTTTATAATTGCAGGAGTACAAGCAGTCTATAGTTGTTTTTCCTTAAAATGAAGGAATCGCCACAAGAAACAAACAAAGAGGTCTGCGAAGCTGGCCCACAACAAATGAAGAGCAAGAACTTTGAGGTCACTCAGGAGGCATCACTGACCGCTGGGACACTCGAGTCTGATTCCCTTTGCGCAATTCACGAAGAACCATCATCAGACATCCAAGTAAATCCGGTGAGTGTTTCTGTAGGTTTTTTTCAGAAAATACGTCCGACCTGGTTCTGTTCTTTGGCGGCAACTGAATTCGCAGGCAGTGCCGCTTTCGTTGTAAGTGACTACTAATATGACTAGTAATTCGCAAGCTTCCTATTAAACAATTTACTAGAGAAAACAGTAAACCCAACGTAGCATTCCTTGATTGCACCATATTGCTTGAGCGACTGACCTGCCATAACAATGGTATATCACGCGCAAAACACTTGACAATCTTTCTGCATGAAAACACAGGCCAGCTGCTGAAGTTGGGGTGAAAGGTCTGCACAATCTGAAACAACAGATTTGCTTTGAAAAGTGATCTTTAGCTAAGACCTACAATGTAGACGCGAGGTATTGTTTGAGGCCTTACAAGACTGGAACGGTTAAATCAAACTAACAGCTCGCGAACTACCTCCGAAAATATGCCGACCTGTCTCTATGACCTACTCAAAAGAAATTATGTATGATTGGGTCCTCGCATATTGTTGTCCTTCTGCGTTAAGAGATAGACAATAGGTGCATAGATACCTATTTATAAAACCATTTATAAAATATATAGTTTACTTCGTCCCGATATTTAAATATTTTCAAGAATCTTCAGGTATTTTCTGCGCAGAAATCTACAACCGACTTGCCGACCAATAAGGGGGCATAGTTAATATCAGTAATACAGCACTAGAAACAGCGTTATTAACCTATGCTAACTAATTATGACCTCAGATAGCTACTTAACCATGAGGGACACGACTGCCAGCCGTGTGAATAGTCAAAATTCCCTTGAGCGTCTCGGGAAATAAGTCCAGATTCTAGTATGAATAGTATTCTGCTAGGGTCCCGGTGGCATGCCTTTTTGTGTGTAAACGGTAGATAAAGCTAAAGTATAATGCATCACACAACTATTGTAATTTTTCTTGTCTGAGGACCCCAAACAACTTTAAATAATTGAACTATGAACTATTGAACTTAGAAGTGTTTAAAATAGCTCAGTTTCATTTCATTTGGATATCTCGATAGCAATTTAAATTAGTGCAAAAGGAAGTTCGTAGGTAATTTATACCTTACTGTCAAGTACCCATGGGAAATGTTTATGACACTTTGCTCAATGACATCGACTTATGGAAAGAAATCCAAATAGGGGGTTTCTGTGACTGGGATTTATAACAGCCCTGAAAATGTAAATGTTTGTTTACAGAAACCTACGAATATAGCCCGTCTTGAGCCAGTCTCTCCACTTGATGAAATACGAAAGCTGAAGCAGGACTTTCAAAATATCAAGAACGTCACAAGCGTCCTTCAAAATTTACTTTCAAGCATTGCGGACAAAGATGCAGATTCTAGAACGGCGGAGGATATTAAAAAAATTCATGTGAGTTGATAACTAAGAATATGAATATAAAACCCCATTTTTTACCTCCTAAACTCCCATCGAGGCTACGACGCGTCGTTTTAACCTATGCTGCTGCACGTCAGATTGCCTAAATGATCCAGCTGCCGGCGCGGTTGTCCACCTTTAGTGATGCCATGTTGGTAGCTGGAGCACAGATTTTCCTATTGCAGAAACTTTTTGTCGATCTCTCCAAGTATCGCAGTGGTAGTTAATTACGCAGTGTAATCCTTCTCGTGGACCTTTAATGGGAATTCAGTCACTTATGATATTGTAAGTAAGCGATGCTTATCTTTTATAATCAAGGATGAAACAGTGATGGTTGCAAAAAGACTATCATGTGGTAGTAGCTCAATAAACTTTCATGCTCTAACACGAAATCAGACGGCTTCCACGGCATTAGGAAGCAATTGTAACCAGAATATTAGGTCGTGACCAAACCCAGGTGCGGATAACCCACAATTCGAAAATGGGCTCCTTAATCGCTGAGCGTTAATTTGGAACACCTCGTAGTTCTTCAATATCAGTCAATCAGATGCTGTGCCCAGTTCTTGGTGGCTTGAAATGCGAAATGGTCTTTTTGATCCCTAAGCAATGAGGTACTTGGGTAGGGATGGGGCATTAGAAATCCCGCCCAGAAAAAAAGTCTGATAAAAGACAACCCTTTTATAGGTGCGGTGGAGAGAGTTTCCGGAGTGAGCGGATGGAAACTCCTTAAACCAAATCTGAATGAAAAAAGTACTGAGAACGTGTATGGTCGCGCAAAACTTGTGAAGCGAAGAAAGCCCATAACATCAAAACTGCGCAAAGCAAAGTCGCCAAAATCAAAAAGATAAGGAAAATTCTGGCCATAATCTAGTATAGAAACGAAATACTGAAAATTGCCAGTTTTAATAATCCCTGGAAACAGTCTCTACAACTAACAAGAGGATTAATGTTTAGAAAAGAGAGATGTTCGCTATAACAACAAATAATTGCCGTCTGCGACTAATGCCACGTATGGAAAAAAGATATCTGGTCACAGAACACAAATTGTAAAAGAGGGTTCATGTACTTCGCTCTTACTGTCTTCAAGCCGATTATACTGGCACAACTCGATATCCCTAAATTCATTTTTGCCAACGGAAACCCCGGAACTTCTGCTGAGCAATACCTGCAAAACGCGAGAACAAAACCAAAGCTGGGGTACGTGAATTCCGTGCACTATATTGTTGGCATATCCGCAGACCTCTTAAAAGGAGTGAGTAGGATGATGGACGGAAAAACGCAGACCAGAAACTACAATGTGTATGTGTTTTATTTGGCTTATCACATGGAATATTGATCCACATTTAGAAATGTGTTTTCAGTTAGAACAGATTGCTTAGATGGTTTTGCAACTGATCAGGATGCAAAATAATCTGGCGATACTTCAAGCACAACAGGATATCGACATTTTAATGAGCTTCTTTCCAGCCGCCTGCACGTACGCACTTGGCAAAAATTCCCACTTAAGTAGTGCAAACTGTCTCCCTTCATCATCTATGCATTTGCATATTCAAGTATCGTTTAAAGAAAGCATACACAAAGATATTCTTGTTCGTACTTACCTAATAGAATACTACGTTTTTTTAAATTCTATACCCACAGAAATGGTATATTTCAGTGGTATAAAATTTTGAAATTATGAAATACCTAGGAGCATGAAATGTCCATTCATACAGCATGATAGCTGCCCGTTTATTAACAGTGTTTTTAAAATGTACAACATGGTCCAGATCCATTGCGAAATTTTATGAGCCCTATGCGACGTCTTCCTAATAACGCATAGATACGTTTAAGTTTGCCTACACGGTGCATATGCCTCAAGGAGATCGAAAACCCTAAGCACAAGTGCAACTGCTGAGAGTAAAATCATTCGGAAACACAAACAATGATTATGAAATCAAAAGATACGCCTTCTTCAAGTAGAAAATCAAATAGGACGTAATTTGCTACAATATGAGAACAAAAATATCTGCATACATGCCTTCCATAGAAGACATTCGAATACATTGAAACATATAAAATCCAATTGGAACTGCGTCTGACGACGACCTTAGGAACCAGCGTCGAAAGTTCACGCAATAAAGTACCTATCCCAAAGAACGCCTCTCCCTTCAACATATATATATTGAAAATAAGTAAGATTCTTTGGAAAGGGAATAAACTTTAATGAGTAAATTTTCGAGTCTGGTTCCCCAACTCGTCGTCAGACTTTTGGGCTATGTACAAAAACAGGTAACTATTTAACCGTGTCAAACAAGTGATTCTATGGTTGGCCGAAGCCTGCGCCAATGCGCGTCAATGATTTTCGTCATCCCCTCGGCATTGGCTGCGCCCGCTTCCATTTGTCCTTGAGGAATGTGTAGGTGGCATCTAAATCGATATGCCGATTGATGCATGCCTCATCTGTGTGCATTGCTTCAGGAACTCACGGCCTTTTCTTATTGGGCAGGCGCCAACAATGCGGGTGTTCTCCCATGCAAATTTGTGTCCATTGTCCAGTGTGTGCATAGCCACCTGGGATAAATGATCTCGTCTCCTCACCGCTAACTGATGCTCATGTATGCGGGTAGAGGCAGATTTCCCAGTTTGGCCACAATACACGGCGCCTGTCCAATAAGGAAAGGCCGCGAGTTCCTGGAAGCAATGCACACAGATGAGGCATGCATCAATCGGCATATCGATTTAGATGCCACCTACACATTCCTCAAGGACAAATGGAAGCGGGCGCAGCCAATGCCGAGGGGATGACGAAAATCGTCGACGCGCATTGGCGCAGGCTTCGGCCAACCATGGAATCACTTGTTTGACACGGTTAAATAGTTACCTGTTTTTGTACATAGCCCAAAAGTCTGACGACGAGTTGGGGAACCAGACTCGAAAATTTACTCATTAAAGTTTATTCCCTTTCCAAAGAATCTTACTTATTTTTAATTAAATTTCTTGCGATGCCCGTTTTCCAGCATATATATATATATATATATGAATAACGAAGGTAGTATGCATTCCGAGGCGATATAATAAAAGGAGAATGCTCGTCGGAAAATAGAGGTATACTCGTGAATTTTCAAGTCGGTTACACCAACCCATCGTCAGACAAAATGGAAAGTGTGAGGCAGATAATCGCACTGGGGAGTTAGGGGACATCGAGATTAAATCGGCAAGACAGGCGTTTATGTGTGAGGGTGAAGAATGTGCTTGGATAGGTGGCGAACGTTAGGGGAGGTGGTGAGGGTTTCGCACATGGTTCACTCTGTGGGGGAGGTGCTGAATCCGTGATATTGCACATCGCCGAACATGGATTAGCAGTTGGTGTCTTAGGGTGGGCGCAAGCCCGCGAACCGTGAACGTAAGCCTTCGTAGTGAGCGTGCAAGTCGACATGGCGGTTGATGCTATTGTTATTAGAGCGCCAAGCTTCTAGAAACTCTCGCGCTTGTTTGGTATTGGCACTAGAGATCACTTCCGTCCCCTCCCAGTTGAAGTGTGATCACCGAGTATACGAGCAATAGAAGGGAACGCCAATGGGCTCACCTCTGTCTGGGCTAATTGCCAAAGCGGTTTTGCAGATGTTGGAGCGACTGGTATTCAGCTCGTTCCCTCGAAGTTCTGGGCCAGATATGTTGACGACAAATTTGTCATAATAAAAAGGAGCGACGAGCCAGATCTCAAGGCACTTTTGAATTCCCGACATACAGTTAACCATGGAAGAATAGGTGACAATCGATTGCCCCTCCCTAGACGTACAAGTCGCAAAACTGTCAGACGGGAATATAAAGAAGACAGTTTATCGTAGGGCGACTAACACTAGGCGCATCCTCCCCTTCAGAAGCAACCAGCCCGTGGATCACAAGCGCAGTTGTGTCAGGACGCTCTTCCAACGCGCCCAAACACACTGCAGCGACGACGATGACAAGATGAAGGAGGTGAAATACTTACATGCCCTATTTGAAGCCAACTGTTAACCGAAGTCGTTCATACGCAAGTGTTTCACGAGGCTCCATTCTGGGCGGTCGAGCGAGGAGAAACCAAACTTCTAGCTCACGATCCCCTATGTTAAAAACGCTTCAGATGGAAATTCGAGAATTCTGAAACCTTTTAAAATTGGAGTGGCCATTAAATCAGAATCACCAATCAGACAGCAGATCATGAGGCCCAAAGACCCGCTGCCGGTGCCAGAACAATCAGCGGTGGTCTACAGCATCCCATGCCAAGATTGTGATGCAAGGCATGTTGGCGAAAACGCCTCGGCACACGATTGCACGAGCACCAACTTGCAAGCAACCGCGAGGATAAGCTATCGTTAGTGTATGGCCACACACTAGAGCGGAACCACAGTTGGTCCTCGACTGGCACGCTCAACCGAGCCATAGACCTGCATCCCGCCTACCAGGCGCTCCGCGCAAGGCTCCAGTCAGTTCACGCAGAGCCAATAGCACGGATGAAAACAGTCACACGGGGTCGACTGCCGACGCTTGTGGAGAGAGGGGAAGGCGCTGACAGAATGTCACGTGACCGGCTTGGCACACTGCCTCACGGACGTACTAGCGAGGCCAAAAACACCACGCCTGAGGAACAACGATCGATCAGCCCGACGTCTGACGAGCGGGTGGCCAACGAGCACGCCGACGCAGCGGCAACCACGTCAGGCATGATGGGGACACAAGGCACGCCAGTCCGACAATGGCTGGGATCAGAGAGGCCACAATCAGCCAACAGAAAACGGGCTAGGCAACGTACGTGCGCTGGGCACGGTTATAATACGAGGCAGGCGGCAAGGCTGAACAAATCAAGGCCAGCAGGAAACGCCAGCTTACGACTCTGATGATGAAACGAGAGTTTCCGAAACGTCAGTTTAAATCCAATCTAGCCCATAAAATCGCTTTCTCTTCTTCGTTTTCCCCGGGGGATGATAAACACGATACATATATATATATATATATGTTCACTCATGAATGGGCGCATACCGATCCACTGGCTTCTCATAGTAAGCAATCTTCGTATGGGTGAATAAATACCTGATCTGCTGCGACAAGGAATGGCAGGTGGCGATTCACCGATTAACTTCGCTTCGATGAAGTGCTTATGACCCATCTGGTAGGCCCAAGTGGTGGACCATCTGCGCCAGGTGTGGGAGCGCCTGTTTGTGTTTCCGGTCACAGCTGTTGGTCAGGGTCTGAATGGTATTACTGACAAAGACAAGAAACACTGGTATGGACATTTCTGGCTTATTAGCCGTCGGCAGTCAGTCATACCCAACCCCGAAGTGTTGAGCACCTAGGGCTCGATACCCCGACCTGTTGGTTAGGAGTTCAGTGCCTCTAACTACCGAGACGCGGGTTCTTGGTCCTGTTGGTTGCGATCGGGAATATATTATAATAGAGGGGCGCTCACCGATCGTTTTTACGGAACTCGCTCGTCCTGTTGCGCCTTAGGGCTCTCTCGAGCCAACTAGCAGCCGCACAGCGATGCATGATATAGGCAGAATGGTATTAACGACAAGGGACACTGGGATGGCCGTTTCAGGCCTATTAGCCGTCGTCGGCTATTCATGCCCAACCCCAAGTTTGGAATACTTGGGGCTCGATCCTGCGACCTGTATTTATTTACATACAGCATGCTGATTGCGCATTACCTGGCTGTTCCACAGTAGCAGACTGCCATCAAATCATATGTTCATTGAAATTGCGGGCCTAACCATGAAACACGTGTTTCGGACACTTAACCCATGTCCTGCCTTTAATATTTACTGGAATTATTAGCCTGATTGTTCGCTGGTGCTCATATGCCCGAAACTGCACAGAGAACGCTGGCGGAGCCTTTGGGGAGCCGAACCCTCGTTGTTGCGTCATGCAGCAGTAGAAACAACGGCGAAACACGTGTCGGGACTTTCAGCTAGTACTCATGTCTGGAGTACGGTATAACACCTTTGATATATAAAAATTAGCACTGTTCGTAGTAGTTTTCGTTTGTTGAGTGAGCATTACGTGGTTACTCTGCAACAACTGATCATCATCGATTTAAATGTTCATTGAAACTTCGGGTCTAACCCTAAAACATTGTGTTCCAGACACTTAACGCCATGATTTGCACTTATTTTTTAAAATTATTAGCTTGATATATGTATGTATGTATATATGCATGTATGTCGAAGAACAAGCCTCATATTGAATTACTCATAAATGGGCCAATTTCTCTACGAACGAAAATTTCCCAAGTCATTTCTTAGTTGTTTAAATATAAGCCGTTATTAATGAAAATAACCAATTTTCTCGGGACCGTTTAATTGCACTCGGAGTCAAAAACTGAGTAAGAATATACGATCTCTCTGGCGAAAATGCGCAATAATCTTATGTATTTTACTCAGTTTGTCTTTAGAATTCACCTATGAAACGTTTCGCAGATTTGCGAGCTACACTCTGATGAGATAAACTGCATGTACACTAGGTGGGCTAACTCATCTAATGTCAACCTAAATTCCGAAATGCATTTTCGTCTCGAAATGACTAATTAAGTAGGGTTGTAAAACTAACCATCATGCAGCATCATTCTATAATAAATCAGTTACCTCAGGATGCCGGCTTTTGAAAATAACTTCTTTGGGGTTCCATACAAAACCTATACTCTGTAAAAAATGGCTACTTAAGTAACACGCATTTTTTCCATTGATTTCCGATGCCCTTAAAACTTCAATTATATTTCATGGAATAATTTTACGCCATGGTTACTGTACACGATCGGAATGAACCTTGTCTGAGCTGAAATTTCTTACTCAGACTGGGACCTCCAGAGAGGACACGAGTATTTGCTGACTCAACAACTTGGAGCGATCGGTCTGTGTCGTGGCGAAAATCTGTGTAATTGTTCATGTTGTTACTGTCAACCATGTTACCCAAATAGAACAAACTAGTAGTGGAAGACACTATCAAGTTACTGAAATGACAGTTGGATAAGCCGTTTTTCCTTTCCATTCTTTGTTTCAGGATCTAGCCGAATCTCTTCCACAGATGAAAACTCAACTGGAGGCGAATATAGAGCAGTACAAGACATACGTAGAACAGAAGAAGGCCATGAACGAAAAGCCCGCTTTTACGGTGGAGAATATGCTTAATGAATTAACTGAGGCCCTGAACGATCTGCAAAATGTTCAAAAGGACTATGTGAGTAAAGAAAACGACGCCTTTCGAAGCGACTAACATATTTGCATGATGAGTATAATGATATTTTAGGGCCACGCGGGATTACTATCAACCTGTGGGCTCGCAGTCCAACTGAGTGCTGACATTTCATTTTACTCTTGAGCAGCGCTTTTAAGTCTATGCAGGTGATTTCACAGTGTTCATGGTAATTTGGCCGTAAATGCTTTCCGAGTCTGAGGTCAAGTTTTTGCGAGCCAACTCCTCAAATCCAACACCAAAGTTTTTACGCAAAATAAGAGCTGAGTACAATCATAGTCACTGAAAAAACATATTCCAAATCTGAAGTAGCATCATAAAACACAGGCGTTGAAGAAAATACTTCCCAGATTTAGAGTTCCTGTAGTGGGTCCTACTCCGAACACCTGTCGCAACACTGGGCCTCTCGCGAGTGTATGTCTGCCGTGCGCACCAGAGCCGACTGGCTTTCG